ATTATCCCGGAAAGCAGGACCACTCAGTCACGTCGCGTCATTGGGTCAGATGAAGGGACGATAAAGCTGGAAGTATGGGACCAACTTCTCATTAGTGAGAACCGAAACCACAGGGAAGACTATGCTCGCTTTTGTCGCACCACGAGTATCATCTAGTAAGGCGATAACAATTGGTGATGCGAATAGATCATAAAGCTTTCAATGGGACATTATCAACTTGGTCACCACCACGGCTCTTCCTTGCATCAGAGTTTGACTGCAGCTTCATGACACTTGACTTTCAATTTGATAGGGCTGGAGCCATTACCATGATAGGATCGGAAGGGTGTTCTGATGCTAAGGAGAATGTTGCTTCCATTTCAATGTTAATGATATCAAACGAATCATTCAATTTTGTCCCGTTTGAAACTGTCATCTCACGAGCATGCCATGATCTTATTTTGCTGAGTCACCAAAAGAACACCGGTGACCAACAGCTCAACGACAGCTTTAGCCATGTGTTGCTTGCTTGACATGAACGTCGTCATTGTTGCGCCGATCACCAGAAGTGTCATTCACAAAATTTGGCTATCTGATCAGTCTAATCCGCTTTATATAAACCTGTGAATATTAATAAAAAGAAGCAGGCTCTTTTCTGAGATCTGATTGATAGTTGAGATTCATATGAAAGATCATCATCAAGTTGAAGTGACAAAAAGAGCATCGACATCATCGCCAGCGGCAGCGGCGAAACTCCGCCGGCGACTGGTCCGGGCGGTGTAGAAGACAACTTCCTTTCGGCTTCACTTTACGCTCATCTCAGCCTCCTCGCCGCCCCTCTTCTTCTTTGTTTCATTGCCACCGAGCTTTTGTTAAAGCTACTTTACTTTATTTTTCATATTGATTTGGCATAACATCTAATACCCGCATCTTCCGACTAAGTCTCCTCCCTCAATGGAGGTAGCCAGCGCGCAACAACCTTCTCTTCAACTAGACGCCTCCAACGCTGCCCCAGTCGCTGACACAATGGACGCCTCCATGGATATTGACATGGACATTGACCTTGGTCCCCTTCCGGAAGCAGAGCCAATTGAGACTGTGAGTATCATCCTTGCCTAATCTATCTTAGATTCTAGTTGTTCACTTCTAACATCTTCGTCGAACTGTCCAGGAACAAACCCTCGTGGCAACGACAGCTGCTCAAGATGAATACGTCGACCCTCTTAATGAGGAGGCACAGTACGAAAAGGTTCATATACGCGGTGTAGACGAGTTGACAACGGAGAACATCAAACAATTTGCTGTCGAACACTTCACCCTGGAGGAGCCAAGTCGCGTTGAATGGATTGATGACACATCGGCAAACCTCCTATACTCTTCGCCGGAGGTTGGTCTCCAAGCTTTGTCAGCCTTTACGCAGGTTAGCGAGGAGGAGGATGCATCTGCGTTGCCTGCTCTACGGTTACGATCCGCGAAGCTTCTCTCTACGCACCCCGACTCTGTCCTCCAGGTTCGGTCAGCTGTCAAGGCAGATCGCAAAAAGCCCCGCGCGCACGAAGCCAGTCGGTTTTACCTCATGCACCCTGAACATGATCCTCGGGAACGCTTGCGACGAGAATTCGCCGCCGACAGACGACGCTCGGGAGGTGGAGATGTCAGTGACGGGGATTACAGGCGAAGACGGTTTGATGGTCGAGAACTGCAACGCCGGAGAGACCGCGATGCAGACGAGAGCTTCAGTGCCAATATGTACGATGACACGCCAGCAAGCCGCGATCGCTCGTCGGACCGCAGTCGCGAAAGGCGGGGAAGGCGAGGGGGACGCGATCTATTTCCACAGGAAGAAGGACGATTGTCTGGTCGCCTTCGCGACCGTAGCGCGTCACCCGGTCGGGATACATTGATGGAAGGCGGATATGCTGAGGATGATCGGCAGGATCGCAGACGGTTCCGCGACCGGTCGCCACAGCTCGGTCGCCGCAACGAAGGCAAGGAGCTTTTCCCGTCTTCAGGTGCGAAAACTAGCGATGCGAAAGCGCGAGAGCTCTTTCCAAACAAAACTGCAAAGGAACTCTTTCCTCAAAAGGTTAGCAATCATCGCCGGTCAGACGCAATCGATGCTGCGGGCGAGACCGCAGATCTATTCTCTCGAAGAATCTCAGTGCCTCTTGTGGATGGAAGCCATGATCAACAACCTGCGCGCCGGAAGCGGGACATCGAGCTGTTCCCCGAGGCGACCGAGACAAGCGGGCTTAACATCCGCGGGGCAGCAAGGCAGGATCAGGGGATGTCGATTCGTGGTGCGGCAAATGGCATATCAATCAAAGGACGGGGATCGTCTGTACGTGAACTGTTCCCTTCGAAGTACGGTTCGAACGCCGGCAAGGAGCTGTTCTCCGATAAGATTGAGGGGCGAGGAGGGCCACGACGCAGGGCGGAGGACATGTTTAGCTGAGGCCTAAAAATTTTATTTTGGGTTAGACTTTCGGCGAGCAACATGTCAAGTCGCTATGTGCATGTTTGCCTGACTGGTTTCTCTTTGGTTGTCATTCTGCTTTTGCTGGGATGGTGGTGTGAAAAGATACCAATATTTCCTATATATATTTTATACTTTTGTACTTCAGCCTATGAATGAAAACATCTTAACTCCGACTGTACTAAATGCGGTATCCTCATAAAATGTAGTGCTCAGGCGAATTGTTTGCGCAGACCACTTTCAATTTGGTGTCAGAAACATAGATCTGGTCCGAGTGGAGCCATGAAGCTACTAGCCCGATATATATCTTTCCCCCAGTTATCGCTCGACAAACTACATCCCGTCGCTCAATCCCAGCCCAACCTCCAAGATGCCACCCTCATCGCAAAACATCCCACTAGCCAGCACCCTCGTGGCCCGTTTCTTACGGACAAACAACTACACGCAGACTTTAAAAGCTTTCCTGCAAGAAGCGGGGCTCCCGTCCGATGCGGGAGAACAGCGCGGCAAAGACGATACGAGCAACTGGACCATCGAGAACGTACTCGAGGAGAAGAAAGCCTTCGACCAAAGCAAGAACTTTGAGCGATACGGTGACGATGACAAGGACAAAGATGTCTGGACCGTTCCAGGTCTGTCTAACACCTCCATGCCCCGCTGCAAGCTAGAAACTCACCTGCTATCACAGCACCAACCAAGCCCAACATCATCCAAACGCCAACCAGTTCAAACCTACTGGCATGCTCCGTAGAACAATGGCAAAGGCCAGATGCGCAAGCAGAGCCATATCTGATCGCCACCGGCGCAGACAGGCACCTCCATCTCTTCCAAACATCTCCTGGCCATGACCTCGTCCAATCATTCACGGGCACATCAGAAGCCCCGATTCTATCGTACATCCCGATCCAAGATGGGAGGTACATCCTCATGACCAACATGTCCGGCCAACTTCTTCTCCAAAAAGGGGCAGAAATCATCGACCGCCGCAAAGACCACGCCAAATACGCCGTCAAGGTCATCGCCTACGAGCAGGAAAACAACAACAACGACGGAGCAGACACCACTTCCACCTCTACGACAATCTGGATCGCAACCGCAGGCTGGGACTCCAAGATCTTCCTCTACCGCATGCAAATCAACGACGAAGCCCCTTCGCAACTCGGCGACCCCATCGCCTCCATCCCACTACTCTCCAACCCCGAATCCATCCTCTTCACCACCCACATCGACAACCCCGCGGACCTAATCCTCCTCGTCTCCCGCCGCGACTCAAGCAACCTCTACTACTACCATGTCAAACCATCAGCAGACTCAACCACCGGATACGAATGCCCCTTAATCGGTAAACAGAACCTCGCTCCGCACTCCAACGCCTGGGTCGCCTTCTCCCCCTCCTGTCTGGCCCTCAGCCCACATGACCCGGGTCTCATCGCCATCGCAACATCGACTCTTCCGCATATGAAGGTCATGATTGTGCGGTTACTGTTTCCCTCAGCGGATAGCTTGGAGACCGGCTCGGCGGAGCAGGAACAGGAGCCAGCAACGCAGGCGGCGCAGGCGTTCGCTGCCCTGTCGCTTCAGAATCGCGAGGACGCGGCGATCTTGATTCAGGCGAATACGTTTGCGCCGCAGACGGCGTACTCGACGCCACAGGTCGTGTGGAGGCCGGATGGCTCGGGAGTGTGGGTTAATGGGGATGATGGGGTTGTGAGAGGGGTGGAGGTGAAGACGGGGAGGGTGGTGACGTTGTTGAAGGATGGGCATGAGGTTGGGTGTAAGATTAGGACGCTTTGGGCGGGGTGGGTTGATGGGAAGGATGGGGGTGAGAGGGAGGAGTGGTTGGTTAGTGGGGGGTTTGATAAGAGGTTGGTTGTTTGGAAGGTTGAATAATTTCAATTCTATTACAGTCAAGGATAAGAGCTCCAGTTTATATATAAGTATCAGGTATATTTTTAAAAAACGGAAATCATAGTATAAATTCAAATTCACTATCAAAACCTACAAGGCCTACATGGTATGGTAGTATGTAGCCCTCCGTCCATGCACCCTCTCGCCATGGTAGAGCAAAGAGCAAAGGGTGTTTGGTAATTGGAGGGCATGGGATCTTCTCTCGGCACGTAAAATAAATCCTTCAGCAAGCGCGCATGGAAAAATAAGCACGAAGCTGTACACACATATGCCTGTTTCTTCATCATCAACATCAACTTCACCATCATCATCATCAAACTACGGTATGAGAACCGCAACGTCAGTCATAAAAAGCAAATGAACCACCGGCCACGGGAGATAAATGAAGCCCAAGAAAAAGCAACACTAGAGAACCGTATCCATTTGCTTTATGTGACAAACCCGGTCTTGCGGGGTAATAATAACCCAACGGGATATGATACCCTCATCCATGTGTTTTTTGTCTCTTGACCGGTGCTTTGCGTTGCAGTCGTTGTCGGTCGCACGTAGGAAACACAGGAAATGAGATAAGAGCAAATCAACCAACTCAAATCGCTTTCATTTCTTTTAAAACGTTTCTATATTAGTTGGAAGTAATTTATGCGATCTCGCGCTTGCCCTCCTTGCGCTCCTTCTGTTGGGGTTGTTAGTGTCGATTCTTCATTTCGGCTTCGCCCAACAAAAAGAGACACTCCTTGTTGGATCGGTCACAAGGAAAGAACGTACCAGAGCCTTGGCGGTTCCGTGAAGGGCGTGTCTGTGGTTGCGGCGGAACTTGGGGTCGACACCCTTGAGGGAGGGGTAACGGTGGGTCTTGGGCTTCTTGATACTGTTGAGTTGGAAAAAGAAGGCGATGGTCAGTGTTTCGATCTCTCTCAAGCGGTTTCGTTGTAGTTGTTGTGTTTTGATTCCCTGAGGACGAATATGTCGAATGTTGGATATTGGTCGATATCCTCCATCATCAGGGCGAGAGTTTCTATCCTCTTCCTCCTTCATCTCGTTCGCTGAACCTCAATTTTGTCGAAGATACCGTCCACTATCCAACATCGCAGTATTCGTCCTCGGGGCGTTTCGTGTATGGAACAGATAGAGAAAGGTAGGAAGAAAATCGGCTTGTTATACGCACCCGTTACGGTGAGCCTTCTGGCTGTTGTGGTGCTGAGACGCGTTCTTGGACTCTGTAGAGATTCATGTCAGCTATACATAATTCTTTCGATGTTAAGATGGTCGATAATCGCATTCTTCGTCCGAGAGAGACGGGAATGCAAAAATAACGGGGGTTTGAATATTTTTGGAGCAAAAGGGGTGTCACGTACTCGCCATCTTGTCGGATTTGTCGCAACTAACAGACGGTTGACGAGGAGTTGGCGGGTGAGGTTATCCTGAACGGAGCGGAAGGCCAGAGTCCCCAAGGCAGGTTCGGCTAGGGCTGGTTTTCTGTGGGATTTCGCTTACCGAGCACGGCTAGCGTCCTGCCCGTCTTGGTGTCTCTTCACTACTGTAGGCCTACTTCTCTAGCTACTGCTTGGGCGGGGGGTTGTCCTGGCTTAGGGTCTAGATTTGATTGTATTTGGGAATTTTGATTGCTAACTACATGAATTTGCTTACGATGCTAGATTCTGCTTGCTACTTGAATACTTTCGTGGAGATGGTGGCGCATCGTCAATGTTGGGATAACATTTATACCTGAGGCATTAATGAATCCCGTGATTGATGACTAACAATGTGGCCGACTGTTTGGAGGTCAATGCTGGGGAAATACTGCGTAGTTTTCAAGTTTATGAAGTGCGCATTGACCGGAGCTTCAGATGTGGAACGAAGAGAACATGTGGTTGAAAAACCAAGCAATCATAAGCCCTGTCCAAATGATGTCGATTCCAGATCAATGATGTGGATGGACATGGGATCCATAGTTACGATGACGGGAATGTTGACAGCCGGATATCACGTGATATTAACATGGGCCCCATTGATGGATACATGCGGACTTGGTTGCATGACCTGCGGTATGATCGTGGTGATGTTGATAATGACTGTCTTACCTCCTATCCTCTTACGCGCCTAGATTGCTTTGATCTTCCCAGTTTGGAGGATTGTAGCATATGTTCGTAAAGAATCGTGGTAACAACAACCACATCCAGCCGGTAGTTTCACGCCCGGGATGCAGATAGATAAATACTATGCGCCCTTAGCAGTTAGCAGAGAGCGATCTCCGCACACCCAAGGCCAATAACCGGAGAACAAGAAGGAGTCGAGCGTTGTGCAGGTCAACGCAGCAACCGAGTACGGCGGTCTTCTGTTGGCGCGTGGGCCACCACGTGACCGCCCGAGCCGCTAGGGAACAACCGGCATCCGACTTCGACCTTTGCAACTCCCAACTCAGGTTCAAGAGGGATACTATCACCACCCACCCCCTTCGTCCATTGCAAGATGAGCTCTCTCCGCTTCGCTCGCTCTGCCTTCAGGGCTCGTCCCTCCGCTTTCCGCGTTCCTCTCCAGCGCAGAGGTTACGCCGAGGCTGTGTCGGACAAGATCAAGCTTTCCCTGACCCTTCCTCACCAGGTACGCCTCCGATTCCGTTGAGCGCCTCTGTGCACCTGCGTGAATGTTTGATACTGACAATTCATTCTTCCAACAGTCCATCTTCAAGTCGGCCGGCGTGTATGTAGCCTCGCAATCCGAATAGGTCGAAAGCATTGCACGACCATCCTTCACCTTAGACCGCCCCATACTTACGAACCTTTCCCATATAGTGTTCAGGTCAACATCCCCGCCGAGTCCGGAGAGATGGGTGTTCTCGCCAACCACGTCCCCTCCATTGAGCAGCTCAAGCCCGGTCTCGTTGAGATCGTTGAGGAGGGTGGTGCCAGCAAGAAGTTCTTCCGTACGTCCGACCAACCGTGTTGATATTTGTGCCGCGGGCCGAGATTCTTCAGATCAGCCGCCACACATCGTGTCTAGGACAAGACTGACATGACTTCTCATGAATTCTAGTGTCTGGTGGTTTCGCCGTTGTCCAGCCCGACTCCCAGCTGAGCATCAACGCCGTCGAGGGTTTCCCTCTCGAGGAGTTCAGCATTGACGTAGGTTCTGACCGATCCGTGCTTTGTCCTCTGCGCAGTGCTAATCCGTCACCCTCAACACAGAACGTCCGTTCCCAGATCGCCGAGGCCCAGAAGATTGCCAACGGAAGCGGCAGCGAGCAGGATATTGCTGAGGCTAAGATTGAGCTTGAGGTAAGACAGACACTACCAAACACGACCCGAACATTCTGACTGACAAACAAAAACAGGTGCTGGAGAGCCTGCAGGCCGTCCTCAAATAGATACCTGATGTACATATCCACTCGCGACTTCAACTTTGAACCTGTAGAATTATAGCAATTCTCATGAAACATTATTTGCATGGTTTTCGGGGCAGAGGCCCATAAATAGCTAATACAGAAAATTAGTCTGGTTGATAAACTGGTTGCTGACGCCTTTCTCGGCTACACGCCTGCCTGGGTTGCTCTTTCCGACTTAGTCGAGGAGAGACCTCTGCTTTCGCCTTCCTTTCTCTTCCTCTTCTACTCCTTGTCTCGCCTACCACCTAAGTCCGGCTTCATTTGGCTTCTTTCGCTTCCTAACTAACGCTGAAAAAGCAGACGACTGACATCTGAAGTGGCTATGATGCCGCCTGCGTTCACCAAGCCAGTTACCATCATGCAGGAGCCCAAGTCCAGTGATCCGGAATATCCCTTCTGTCAGGCCTCGGACAATCTCCAGAACTTTCCGAGTCGACTACAGTATAAACACCCAGAGAATTGTCCTGCCCGCCCAACCGCGGCCCGCAGCGATTCTCATGATACTGACGCTTTCCACATATTTCCAATGGAGGTGGATAAAGAACACCCGACAAACCCGTCAATCTCAGCATGCAAGATGTTGGAAACTTTCTCTGATAAGGACACTGCCAACCGTCAAGGAATACCCGACATGTTTAATGATGCATTTGTTTTTGAAAAATGGTATGAGAGCACAATCGAATCTTGCGGTAAATCAGACCGAGATACTCCGTCTCCGGCGAGACCGGGAAATACCACCCTCGCTATATTGAATGAGAAAAGCTTATCCGAACGCAATAGTCGCAGTCCTGTGGAGGCTAAACCAGCGTGGAAACCGCCAAGACCTCCCAAACCGCGATTCTTAGCACACCTTGACATTGCCGGCACCGAGACATACGAGAATGCAACCCCGAGTCCCATGCCTGCCTTGAGAGACGGTCCCGTGGATCACAAATGGCTAGCACCTACTAGAGCTCAGCTGTCCACTCCCCAGGGCTGTTCGAGGTCTCGCATTCGATTGGCCAACCGATCAATATTGCTACAAGGTATGGACAATGATATCGGCAAGCGACACAGAGGACCCTGGAGTGACCCCAAGCTCGGCCCATCCCGATTCCTGTCCCGGCCTGTCAAACGTGGCACAAAGCCTTATCTCGTCAAGAACAATCTGAACCAGCCGTTCCCCGCCCCCTTGCCTTCAATTGATGGCTTGCCATTGCGCCAGGATTTCAAAATTACTAAGTCTAGGTCTGCCAAGAAATGCGTCCAAAACCCCAGTAACGCCTTGTTAAGCCCCCAAGAGGTACCAGAGCCAAACCTGAAGCGCATAGGGAATTGGCTTGGGAAGCCACTTAGCTGGATTTCCCACCTGTTACAGCCAAAGGAACGAGGTGTTATAAGTATAACCTTGGTTGGACAGCAACCACTTCAGCACCCACGTTCCGGATATGCATCATACGAATTCATTGTGAGCTTCGTTTGGCCATGGCCAAACCCAAGCGCGTCGGAGTCTACTAGAACTCACCAAGAGCAAGAGCTCAACCTACCTGTTTCTTCATATGATGCCACCCGTCTCTTTCGGGCCGATATTACAATGCCGTATCTCGCTATGCGGCTTATCTTGGCCTTGTGTAACGTCTTGCGGAGCCTGACACACAGAACAGTTGTGGCTAGCTTTGTGCAACTCTTTGTGGGGTTCATCGGACTTCCAGTATTGTATGTACTAGAGAGGTTCAGCGTCAAGTTCTCCATTCACCCAAGGGAGTCTGATACGACCCAGAGTGCAAGAGATCAACATGCGGCTCTTTAATTAATGGCTTGAATGATGTCTTGCTCAGCCGATGTATGATTGAGGACAATGCGGCGCTCGGTAATTTGCTACTGATGGTACTCTTCAGACGTGAAAAACATCAATTTTCTTATTTTCACTAAAGAACAAGAATGCAGCACAATATGAACGACATGGCGACCATTATATGCAGAAATCGGTGAGAGACAAATGAGAAAACCACAGTTCAAGGAGCACCGACTCCTACTGCTTATGAGCTTAGCACTGTCCATTTCCTCATAGCAGTATCTTATCATAAATCAATAGCCAAACAAAACCAACAATTCATATCCATTCCCTTGCTCATTGCAACCGTTCTGTATGGCTGCTTTCATAGCGTCATTACCGGACATCACCAGACAAGAAGCTCTTTCCGAGCACAAATATCTTCAACAAGCACGAAGCGTAGTTTCCAGAAGAACCAACACCCGAGACAGCGAGTCATTGGCACTTGTACATCATAACGTATTTCAAGATTGACATGAAGGGGGTAAAATCAAAAGAAACAGATTCATGGGACGCAATTAAACACCAAAGAGCAAAGGGGCATGTAATCATCAAGGTTGCTATACAGGGGAAGAAGGAGAAAAAGAAGAGACGTCAAGGATATGGCAGGAGATACCTTCTCATCAAGTAAATTCCACACCATGCTGCTGTCTTTCTTGACGTGCACGCGCTCTCTCCGCGCGTCTTCGTCGACGATTGCTTGCGTAGTCACCACTCGCTTCCGTCCCAGTAAACGTACCCGGAGACGCGATACTCCCTGTCCCATAAGGATGACTAGATGGAACAGGGGGCGGCGGGGGAGGCGGCATATAGCCCCCATTCCCGTTCTGAGGCGGCGGTGCATAGTAAGCTGACGCCGCAGGAGGAGGCATACTTGATGATGGAGCGGCGGAAGTTGCTGGGAAAGCTGAGGAAGCTGCCGCAGCAGCAGCAGCCTGCTCTCGTTGCATCTGCTCCTGTTGCTGGCGTTCTAGCTCCTCGACACGGCGCCAGCGGTCGTGCGAACCCCCTTCGTTTCCTGATAGTGAGCTTGCACTGCCGGCGCGACGACGGGAGTTCCTTCGCTCTCTTCGTCTTGCTTCACGACTGGCGGCGGCTTCTTCGTCCGTTAGTCTTCGGAGAGTGACGTGGCGGCCGTCGTTGTGCATTTTCACTTTGACGGAAACCGGGGGAGATGCGATGGGATCACGGTGGCGGCTGCTACTCCTGGGTCGGCTGCTGCTTCGGTGACGGCTGGCGCTGCGACGGCGATGTGCCGATGATGCAGCACCGAGGGCTGTTCCGGCTGCTACTCCTGAGGCGAGCTCCGTGGGGCCGTGTGTAGATGCTGCTGGTCCGGGATATTCTGAGGCTGCTGGTGGGGGAATAGGTGGTCCTGGTGCCGGTGGTATGTCTGAGCGTGCTCCGTCTACTGCTCCGGATGCCATTGGGGGTCCTGCGGCTGAGACGATGGACTCGCCGTGCGGCGGACCGCGGGGTGGCCGGGAGAAGTCTGATGAAAGGTCTGTGGCTGTGAATGATGCCGGTCTGTCGCGTCTTGGGTAATAGCCCTCTCCGGGGTAGCGTCGCTTGCTGTTGGCCCGGGCTAGCCGCTCATCTTCCATCTCCCGACGGCGCATCTCTTCCACGCGACGTTTTTCTGGATCACCTTTGCGGCGTGAAAAGAAGCCCTTGATCGCTGCTAGTGCCCCTGCTCCGAGCAGGGCGTCTCGGAGTCCGTGGGATGGCCTGCGACGGGGAGCTTCAGAAAGATAGGTGCTGTTGTAAAGGTACGACGAGCCTGGGCTTTGAGGACGGCTAAGAGGTCGACTTGGTGGTCTGCTCGGGGGTCTGCTGGGGGGCCTGCTGGGAGGTCTACTGGGAGGTCTGCTCGGCGGACGGTTGAGAGGAGTATGCGCTGTTGGCTCCGGTCTTCGCCCATCTTCCAGTCTACTCAAGCTTTCTTCGGTCATGCTGTCACTCCGAGTATGGGCTCTGCTGTATCGACCGGACTCCGTGTCGTTGTCTCGTTCGCGTCTTCTGTCGAAGAATTTCTTTGCGAGCCAGGCACCACCGCCAATTGCACCTAGTTTTAGAAGTAAGTTCCCTTTGCCACCACGTCGTGCGCCTTCGTCGGAAAGCTTTTCGTCTGTGAAGCTGGTATGCGATTCGTCGTAATCGTGTGGTCTGCCTCTCGAACGACGTCTGAAGAGCGAAGCTAGGCCGGCCCCGGTCGCTCCTGCGGCAGCCATTGGCCCGAGGTTACTATGGCCATGGTCATCGGCAGCTGAGGGCCCTGAGACATAGCTGAGCCGACTTTCGTATCCGCCGCCCTCCATGTGATACCCTTCTGTGTCGTATAGATATGACAGCACAAAAAACACCGCGAGGAGGATGAAGGCGACGATCGCGTAGAGGATAAAGAGCACTTTAGGCGAGCCATAAAGGGTGAGACCCAGCGGTATCTGAACTAGACCAAGGATTGCGAGGGCGCGTCCAATCCATCGATGAATCTGGCGTGAGTTAGCTTTTGGGCAGGACACCAAACGGTCACACAACATACAACAAGCTTCAAGGGAACATGATAACTCCTTCTGTTCCTCTCAATCTTATGAACAAGCCAGCCCCACAGAATTTGAAAAATCACCAGGACATATATCGCAAGCCCGATACCGTGATGCGGGTTTGTCAGGCTTCTCTTTGGACCAACAGCGAACCAACCGAACACAAACACAACGGTGCTCAGCAATAATGTCAGGACTTGGCACCAGACATGCAGCTTGAAAGCCCAGGAAGGATTCCATCGAGAGTAGTATCGGATGATCAAGACAGAGATTGGGACGAGGAAAAGGAAGACGATTGTAGCGATGATACCGTGAACGGCTATGAGGGTATGGTACTCGGGCATATCCTTGAATCGGTTTCCCATTCCTGACATATGTAAGCGATTTTGCGCAACGTAGAACTATACGCTTACTTACCATTGTATCGCATTGTGTCGAAGTTGATACCCATCAGATTAGGGAGGAGGAATGTGTCGCGCTCCGAGTCCCATGTTCCATCGCCGACATGCAGTGTATTCGAAGCGTAAGTACTGCTCCCCGCAGCGGAGAGGCCAGAGTCGACCGCCATGGTTACTGAAGACCTTGAGCTCTTATAGTTTCCGATCGACGTGAATTCCTCCCGATCT